GTTCTTCATCCTCTCTGGTCTCGCCGCGCACTGGCAGCACGCGCGTCCTTATCTTATCCTCGCTTTTTCACCACCGCGAGAGCTTCCCCCGTACACGGCCCGTGTAAGCGACGCATGTAGTTTTTCTTCGAGGCGAGGGAGTGACGCCTCTCGTGCCCGCGAGACGCGCGAATTTTTCTTTATCCCGTTCTCGTTCCCGTTCCCACTCCCGCTCCCGCTCCCGCTCCCACGCTCCCACGCTTTTCCGACGGTCTTCGCTAACGCGTAACCTGCAAGTCGCAATTAATTTTCCGTCCGCGCGAGAACGCGTCCTCCCGGCGACGATAAATCAAGCAACGGAGTTTCAATTTGGCGCAACGAGTCGTAGCCACGCCGAGAATTCTCATTACGAAACGCATGTCGTTAATCAATGGAATCGGTCGCCCCTGTGTCCCAAGCGGAAAAACGCTTGGACTATGTGCACTGTTGCGATGTATTCGATGGATGAGTATACGTATACTTATTTCATATACTGTTTGATGATTTTAGAAGTCGCGTGAAGCGGTGTTCTATACATATAAGAGATTCTCGTCGTAATTCTTATTTAGGAATCTACCTAAACTCTTCATTAATGCACTAACAGAAAGAAGGATGGATTTTTCTAATAAAATATCTGAAAATTTAACTATGAGCTACAGAGATCTGAAATTTTCTTGAACTATTAAAATAATTATATAGAAACTTAGGCATAATGAAGCCTGCAAAACATTTTTATATTCTAGCAATTAGCTTGAACATCCTACATAATTATTTTTTTCATTTGTATCTAGTTAAATTTTTAGGCACTTGAACAAAACTGTTCTTTCTCTGCGTGATTATAAATGTAGAACGTATGTCTCTCATTTCAATAAAAAGTTTTGTGCAAAATAATGTGAGACTAGGCTCCTATTTTGTAATTCTTGTAATGACAGTATCGTTATACTGTCGTTAAGAGTTACAGAATAAGATTTAGCAGGTTTAGCTACGTTACTGTAGCTGTTTAAGAAATCTTTTTCAATTTTGGATCACGATATAACTGTGCAGAAAAAGTATGACGCTTAGTTGCAATATTGCTATGAACGATGAATTTCTCGATGCGGCACACACACACACACACACACTGTTTAATCTCGATATCGATAGTGGCACGGAGAGGTCGAAAAGTTTCGCACGTAGCGCAATGTCAGTCGAGTAACGAGGTCGTTTGCGAGCGCGCGCGCTTGATCGGATAGCTTGCTCGGCATCTTGCTTACAAGACACGTAGCATCGGCAGGGGTTATCGAAAATTTAATAACGTTCGAATTAATAATGCTGGTGTTGCTGCGCGCGATGGCGGGTGTGAGAGACGGAACGCTACATCGCGCTTCGTCGGAAGAGCAATCGGGCTAATAACGCACCGGTTGGAGCGGACGGATAAATTAAATTAATCATGCATCACAACATGCAGGAGTCGGAACTTTAGATCCAATCGTATATTAACCGAATAAGCCGCGCTAAATCTTCCTCTCCGGGCACAATTGATTGAAACAAGAAGATTATTGCGATATTGCTAATGATATTGTTATCGATTAGGAATAATATTCATTTTTAGCATATCTATTTCTTTAATGAAAATTATTGATTTCATACTTTAATAGTAATGCTCATTAACGTCGCGTGACATATCAATTTTCCCGGTCAATTTAAATAACGTGCGATATAAAGATATAAACATAACAATGCTTAACTGTAACTGAGCGGTTATTTTTCTCATAAAGGGAGTTCGTAAATTAATCATTTTTTTATTTTCCTTTATTTTGTAACGATCGTGAATTTTTTAAGTTTTCTAAACAGTGCTCGAACTTTGTAATTGGACATGGCGTTACGTGTTGACGAGCTTACTTAATTCCAAGCGCTGTAAATCATCAGGGAGTCATGCCGTGTGGGCGATAGTTGCTGCGAAAAAGATATTCCGCTGGTCATTAACGTCCGAGCAGGAACTTCCTCATCCGGTAGTCGTTATCGCTATTCGGAGGTTCGCTTCTGCTATTTTTGCGGATGCACCGTTACGCTCACTATGAGAATATAGCGTTTAAAACGCTTAAGTTTCTCTCTTGTACCAATTTCAACTTCAAGTTCCGTGCGTGTGAATATCTCATCAGGATTATCGATTTTGTACTAGAACGAAAAAAGATAATAAAGATATGATAGTAAAAATAAAGTTTATACCAATTTCCATGGCTATATAAAAATAAATTACGCACTCTTCAAAAAATTACAACGCGTGGTAAAAATACTGTTTTTCAATTATTTTTCGTTACAAATCATAAGAGGTTTTGACTGGAATTTTAGTGGTTATTCAAATTTTCTCTTTCCACATTGATAATTTAAAAAATATATTTCTCTAATAAAATAAAAAATATTCTAATAAAATTAACAACTTTTTCTACATTTTAAATCATACCTGAAAGATGCGTGTATATGCACGACGAATGTGTTTCTGTTTAACAAAAAAAGGTAGAGCCACTCAACGAGTCATTTATTAGTACGTCTAATAACACTCGACAAAAAGGGAAAAAAACAATTTCATGTGATACAAATGTAGATTGTGAAAATGAATGAGTCTCGCGCATATATTGTTGCACCGGGCGGCATGGTTCGGTAGCGAAGCTGTCTATGAAAATTTTAATTGGACTGCGTATATGAATATCACGTATAACGTCCCTGTCAGACTAATCGGGTAATCTACTCGTCTCGCTGAAAGAATCAACGTGCCTTTTAGCTTAATTGTTTCTCGGAGCTCGCTCGTCTGTCGCGCTAATATTATTAACTCCTTATGGTTTCAACCGTTAGAAGCTGATTCCAGCAGGACGAACGGTAAGGATACCCGGCATCTTAGGCAATGGTTGTTTTTCAAAAGAAAATGAGGACATTCGACTTTATTCGTCGCTCGATTATAGTTCTTCCGATACCGAGTTCATCTCTTTCAACCACGCGACGGAAGAAAATGCGCGAGTGAAAAATTAATGAATAATAATTTATTATTAATATACGATCAATACTGTTCTAAAGTTGTTTGTTTTTTCTTAAATGTTCCCTATATTCGCGACAATTTTCTCTTATATTTTTCCTCTGCATTTTATATTTTTTAGTACGCTTAAGCGGTTTATGAGGCAATGGCAAATTAGCAAGCTGCCTCGCAATTTGTGGCCCGATAATTAATCGTCCAAACAAATCCGTGCAGCTTGACCATTTAATATAATGTCCGCTATGTCACACACCCAAACGTGATCACGATCTCATCAAGAGATAAGTATCGACCGACGCGACGTTTTCTACTTGGAGAGCGTCCAGCGTCAAGTCACTTCTTAGACGTTTCAATTGTTCAAAGTTCCATTACTATTCAGAGTTGAACACCGCGCATGGAAGAGCTTGTAACTTGATTCGTTTTGGCCGTCGAGGATCTTTAACTAGTACATCTTTTCACGTTCGAGTAAAAACGAACGTGTCACAACTCTTATATAGTACTGCACCGAATCGCAGGTCTCGCGCATTGCTCAAATTAGATGGAATTCTTAAACACGCAGCGGGTGGCGTAGCGACGTAATTGCAAAAACGTGATACGGCGGTAATTAACAAGAAATTGTGCCGCGATGTTAGAGTCAAATGAGATATGGTTTTTCGTAGGTACATTGTAGAGTTATTTGAGTGCGATGCTTCAAACGTTATGCTATTTTTAGTCACAACCAAAATAGGTTTTCTGAAAGAAATTCGTTTAATCCGATATAATAATTCAGTTTTAACATTCAGTTTTTAAATTGCATTATGTCATATACATATATTTAATAAAGAAAAACAAGAAAATTTATTTTTCTCCGTTTATTTAAAAAGCCGTCGTTGCTATAATAGAAGCATTGAAAATACACCTCTGTCGAATAAAAATAGAATTATCATAAAAATATGAAACTTTATTTAATTGATATTTATTCTCGTCTCGCAATTGCAGATTTAATGTAATGAAATAGCACTTATTATTTTGTTTAAATCAAAATATAGATCAAAATATAGATGTGTATTGATGTGTTCTGATATTTCTGGATTTCATGGATACAATGAAACACATTATGAAATATTAAATTATATAAATTAAATAATTACGGAAGCTCTCAAATAATATTATACATGGCATATATATTAAATTTTCGACGTGTCAATGACTGTTTTTTGAAATTACATAAACAGCAGCACAATCGGGTGAAATGAATATTGCACTAGAATTAATCCAATCATTTATCGATTGGATAATCGATCTTATAGAGTATGATGGAGGAAACAGGGTTTCACAAGAGCGAACGCATATCAACCGATCGTTATTAATCTGCGAGAATAAGGTGCAGGAGTTTCTAATCTGTCCCTACCGCGGCACGTTTACGGCGTAGATTTAATCTGCATTGGATTTAATTAAAATCAAGTGCTTCCACAGTGGCATACTCTCGTTGACAATTGCATGTAGATTGGATTAAGCTCGGAATTAGAACGGAGAGCGAATTCACGCTCCGCGCGAACCCGGGTGCTCGTTTGTCCATATTAATATTCGAATACGTGAAACTAGGGCGAATCACGTTGTAAACTTTCGCGATAGAGATTGTCAATGGCGGTAAGATAATCCGGCATGAGCTCGGATTGTTACCATTCCCCGCGTGTGAGAGCTTTCTCTAATTTATTTAATCATTACACAACCTCTTTGATGTTAGATTAGATCTCTTAAAGCTGCTTCAATGTTATTTAAAATTGTCCGTATTATATTAACAATATTTTATATCTAACACAAGCCATATCTCAATATCATAGCTGTCTCTCGGGAGACTCGCGATGTGACGTTTGTACGCTACAAACTCGCCACTTGCACAACGATATTCGGCGATCGAAGTTTCTCATACTCTAAACTCTAAACTTTCAAACGATTTGTCCGTACCTAATCGGAACTTTCATTTCTGCTGCAGATCTAGACGGTTGCTGATCTGGAAATCTTGGAGATCTCTCGCTTTCCTGCGCATATTCTCTGCGTACGTGGGAGGTCGAAGTTTTCGCCGATAATCCAACTTAGCATCTGCCGCTTAACAAGGTATAATTATCAAAGATACGAAGAGGACCGTTTCCTGAGCAGATATTTGCCTCATAAGAAGCATTTCGGATAGTCTGGCCGATTCCTAAGGTACGTATCTTAAGTCTATCGTTCTCTCTCTCTCTCTCTCTCTCTCTCTCTCTCTCTCTCTCTCTCGATTGCATCCATGGATAACTAAGCTAGGTACAGTCGTCCTTGTAGCGTATCACACCGATCAAATCTATGTTACTTGCTAAGACTTTCTTGTGTGTGTTATCTATGATAATAAAACTCATCTAAATTGACTTCACTTGTAGATAGCAAAGTTAAGGCTAGAGATAAGAAATATTAACAAGCTGTTTATCTCAAGTCAAGCATTTTGTTACAAACTGATATAAATTTAGATAGGGGAGAGTTGGTTAAGTCATACCGACGGTTAAATCGTACCTCTATTGTATTTTCTAAACGAAATTTTTTTTTTTAAGATAATGATACTGATGTGACGCTGGTAATATGGGATTAAGAAATATCATTTTTGTTTTGTCTTCGAGTCGTCTGTTTACGAGTGATATTCAAAATTGATTTTGTTCGATGTCTGATCTAAGTTTTGGTACAATTTACCTAAGGTGTTATCAGTACAAGGTGGGTAATTCAATTATAGTGTTCTTCATGGTTATAATTGATATTTAAACTCTTTTCGAGAGTATAGCATCAAATTAGTAAAATATTTGTAAGTTATGTTGCTATTGGCAAATTTGTAAAAATAGAGGGAGTTGGGTAAATCGTACTTGTCGCTGGTCTTTATATTGTACCGATACGATTTTCGCAAGTGACGCGAGCAATATGTGCAGGTTACTATTATGATAAAAAAGGATCTACAATGGACTGGATTCAGTATGTCAGGTGCTCTAAGTGGTTGTACGAAACCTGTAGTGACAATCCTGACATTTACCAAAACTATTTAAATAAGCGCTCAAGAAAGTGATTACTTATCAATTATTGTCTTTCTATTAAATTTTTCTATTGAGGCTTTCTATTGAGTCTTTCTATTGAATCTTTTCTATTGTGACGGAAAAATCCGTAATTGATTTTCCAAAATTTATTTTTTCAAAATATCTGAGATTTGAATATTCTGAAATGTGCAATGATAGCTTAAATCAATTTAGGTATTGCTTTTTACTTTGTTTTCTTAAATGAGTTTAAAAAACACAGAGTCTAATTTCTGTTTTTATAATACCTAAAAAACTTTTTATTATACCTATACTTAAATATGTATACTAAGTTTGTGAAATAAAAAATAAATTTATTAATAAATGAGTTTTAAAATTAATTTCTTTATTTTCCCAATAAACAAACTGACGTTATTTACCGTTATTTTGACGTTAAAGATGTTATTTTAATGTCAAAATGACAATAAGCAATGTCAGTTTGTTTGCTATATTAGAAGTACTATTTAGGAATCAGGTAGTACAATTTAACGACTCGATTTCCAAATCGTACCGAAAGCTACTTTTTTAAAAAATCTAACTTCAACAATAATTTAATGTTTATTTTTGTAAAAGTATCGTTTTGTTTTATTGCCAATGAACCAAAGTTTAATGTAAGTACAGAAATATTCTGATCTCTTTAGTACTTTTGTTACAATTTTGTTTAAACGTTAGGGAGTACGATATAGGCGACTTCTCCCTATTTGATTTATTAAATATTTTTCGCGAAAAAAGCTTCGTATAGATTTAAACAAATAATATATGTTGTATTACGGAAAAACTGTATCACGGAAAAAATTGATTAGGTGGCAAAGCTAGAGTTTGCTACGCGCTTCAGCAAACTCTATCCTCTATAAGGATTTAATGGTTCAACAAAGAAATTGTATCTGTCAACAGTCTGTCAGTATGCTAATTCAATTAATTCTTTTACAATGAAAATTGCTAATATTACAAGTTTTTTTTTTATTACAGCAGTAAAAGTACGTACTAATTTAGCTAATATGTTTTGTAAAATTTGCTTCTCTCTCTCTCGTACTCGATTATTATTAACACGAAAATTAGCATAAAAAAATAATTATAGTCGCTTATATACCTCACATTCTAATATATGCATTAGATTGATTTTCGTAGAAAGTTATATATTTTGCTGTATTAACAAATTTGCTGTACAACAAATATGATTACCTATAATTACTAATTTTATTCAGCTGTATAATTTTGCTACTTTAACACAGAAAACTAACTGTCCGCGTATATTACAGCTATAGATTGCAAATCAGTGAAGTTTTTAGTTGTTTTAACAAATCTTTTTTTTGTGTGATTAGTTACTGACCTACATTCGTGCAAGACATTTGTCTAATTTGTTGCTGAAAATATTATCGTTTTTTCACTTTTATTTTATGGATAGATCTTCAAAAAAATAATACTTGTGATTAGGTATCATCAGATTTGTTCTTATGCATAAAAATTGCTAACAGGACGGAAAGTATTATTATTTTTTGGTCAAATTATATCTTCGAATAATGTGACGAACCGAACTCTACAAATAGAAAAAAAGGGTTTGTGTACTCGTTACCTGTAATAAAGGAACATATGAAAAATGCATGTCGGCGGGAGAATGGTCGTTATGCTAATTTGTGAAGAAAACTATGGTTTTATACATCGAGGATGATACGTGATCTGCACATTATATATCTATAAATATACATACCTGTTGTAATTAAAGTTGTCCATTATATTGGTGTGACAGGCCGTTTCTATGTTTGCTCGATCCGTTTCTATCGCATGTCACTTCGATTCCGCTGATAGAAAAGTATCCAGCTCAATTTCAATCTGTAGAGAATTACAATGAAGCTGATTCTATGTACAACGATGGCATAAATTTGCAATGCCACACACTGGTATACATCTCCAATAATTAATTATTATGTTACATATTATAAAATGTGTTTGCGAGTTACACACTTTATATCACGCGACATTTTTCATCGTAATGAACAGTGGCAAATAGTATTTTTGCATTATTCTCTCGGCAACGAGCTTTTTGCTTTTGATATGTATATTTTATAACAAAATATTTTATTCACAAATATTTGAGTTATATCTTGCATGTGACGCATATGATGCAACATCAAAGAATAGCTGCGTTTCCTAATTATGTTATGATTTTTAGCGCAGAATAGTGCTTCTCTCTCTCGTACTCGATTATTATTAACACGAAAATTAGCATAAAAAAATAATTATAGTCGCTTATATACCTCACATTCTAAGATTTGAAATTATTTTTAAAAAATTACATATTTTTTGTTTACTGTCGTAAACAAAAGAATTTGAAGATTTAAATAAATTTTTATCTTTATTCAATATAGGAAAAATTGTCTCTAAAACTATTTTCTCTGTAATTAATCATTAAATCTTACATACCGTGTTAATTAATGACTATATTCGATTTATGGAGATCTTTAATCTTTGTTGAGCTTTTACATTTCTATCGATATATAATTATGCATAACATACCGTGTTTATCGATTATTTATATACTTTGATGTGAAACGGAAAAGAAAACAATCGATCGCTTCCGTAAGTCAGCCATCTCGACTAGCCTTGAAAATTCTGGACTTCATTTCCGCTCCCCGCGATTTGAGTTATACTTGGCGAGACTAACGACCCTTTAATTATTCACCTCTAATTGCGAATGCTCCTTGTTACTGGAACGCATGCATTATGCGTGGAACGCGTGTTACATCCGTTTTCATGCTGCCTACACTATCTTTCCGTTTCATCCTAGTGAAATTCAAATTTTAAAAATGCACGCATTTATTAAATATTAAAACATGAATATTAACAAAGAAATAATATATAATTTAAAAACTATCTCATAACAAAGATTTTTTAGGTTGAATTTTAATAATTTTTTTAATGATATGAATATATATCTATTATTTAGCTATTGTCAAATTCATTTATCATAGTTGATTTAATGAACTGTAAATGTCAATTCCTTTCGTGCTTTAATTTCTGAAACCGTGTTTATGACAATGGCTCCGCGAGAATGTAGGTATAATAATTTTATGCTTTAGTCTACGACATCGATATCGACATATGATAGGTTTTATGATGCGTTTGATTATAATCCCGGTCCATTTTACGATGCAAATAGTCTAACTGGGCTATCGTATCTTCTTGTTCATAGTAATTAGATTTATTCAATGTATTTTGCGATATAATCGAATTTAACCGTTAATTAATTTTCTGTTTGTCTTGATGCATAACGTCTGATTAAAGCGCAATTGTTCGAGTTATGAATTATTAACGTGCACCAATATATTAATGATAATTTACATTGCTCTTTATGATGTATATAAAATATGTGCATTTATACAGTAACAATACAATTATATTTTATTGATATAAATAATATATAATTTTTTATTTTAACATATTATACATATCTACCATATATGCTATGAACATTATTTCTATGTATTCTATGAATATATATATTTTTAAATCTATTTTTATTTATGCGCATGAAATATTTGCTTTGAGTACTGTGTTTGTTGCAAGTTAGTCTAATGTTTAAAAAAGTCTAAAAAAGTCGTGCTAATTTTAAATTTAAATTATTGCTTCTCGTTTTATATGGAAGGATTTAAATTGAAAGTACTTTTCGGACGTGAAGTCGACAATTGAGCACTATGTGCGTGTGCACGCTTCTTTTCACTGGAATGACGACGAGTGATCCGAGAGTGACGGAATTTTGTTCGCACTTTATTTCCCATTCCATTATTCGCGGATCGTGGAAATCTCATGCATCACAAAAGAACGACCGACCAATGAATTTACCTTGCGTACCAGTTCGCCTACTATTACTAATTCATCATTCTTCGATCCCCCCCCCCCCCCCTCTCTCTCTCTCTCTCTCTCTCTCACAAACACACATACACGCGAAATTACGAAAGTCTTAAATATATGCATTTGAAATACGATCGACCATTAAATTAAAAGTGCGAGAATTCCATTTACCTAGTATCGAAGTAACAATTATTGTAATTCGTGAAATACAATGTCAAAACGAGCAAGCATACGAAAATTGTTACATGTAGTTATATGATTACGTAAACACGT